AGGAAGGAAGGAAGGAAGGAAGGAAGGAAGGAAGGAAGGAAGGAAGGAAGGAAGGGAGGAAGGAAGGAAGGGAGGAAGGGAGGGAAGGAAGAGAGGGAGGGAGGGAGGGAGGGAGGAAGGAAGAAAATGGAATAAAGGAAGGAAAGGAGAAGGAAGGAAAGGAGAAGGAAGGAAGGGAGGGAAGGAAGGAAGGGAGGAAGGGAGGGAGGGAAGGAAGGAAGGAAGGGAGGAAGGGAGGGAGGGAAGGAAGGAAGGGAGGAAGGGAGGGAGGGAAGGAAGGAAGAGAGGGAGGGAGGGAGGGAGGGAGGAGGAAGGAAGAAAATGGAATAAAGGAAGGAAAGGAGAAGGAAGGAAAGGAGAAGGAAGGAAGGAAGGAAAAAAAGAAGAAGAATAAAGAGGGATGAATAAGGAAGGTAAGATGATAAATGATAAGATTATAAGTTAAAATAAATATTCTTTCTTTAAAAAGATTTTATGTGACATACACCAGGCATTCAGGCAATTGTGTGTCATCATCAGAGCAGATAGATGTTTTGTTGTATCTAAGGCTCCTGTGTGCTGGGCACCTCCTCTACTGTACCTATCACAGATGTATGGCCATATTATTAACAGGGTGACAACCTCCCAGACCTTTGTATGGGGCGAGGCAGGCACAATGCGTCACCACCAATGGTTTCTGATTTAGACACAATGACGTCAGTTGAAGATGAGTCAGCGGAGAGGTTATGCCACCTTCCAGCCTCTGACAGATGTTGATGACACAATACGTACGCGGAGAAAACATTTATTAAATACTTCAAACTCTACATACTAATAATTCCATTTGCAGGCAGCTCTTGTCACCATTAAAATACCAATTTCTCAGAAAATGCTGCAATACTTACTAAATGGATTTAATGAAAAAAACCTGTAAAAGTACTGCATATCTATAAAGCGGGTTTAAAACAGTAATTTTTCCAAAGCATTCATAATTTAAACAAGACAAATTGTAACACAGTCTATTTATAAAAGAACATTTTTGAAGACTCAGTATACACAAAGTACATGACTTTCATAGAACGTTTTATGTATAAGAGGTCTTGACAAAATACTCTGCATGTAAAAGGTTTGGGAGATTATCAGCAGATATTTAAGCAACTCTTTTCTGACTAATGTGTCAATGCAAAGTAGCGCAGTGAGATAATATCCAAGATAACAGTATCACAGGGCCAGTCCACCCAAAAAAAGATTTAAGTCAACCTGAAAAAGAAAATAGTTTGATTCCCGATGCTGGGGGGGGGGGGGGGGGGTTGTGGTTGCAATGCATGCTGGGAGAAGAACACTGTGATTACTGCTAGCGTCTATAACAGTAAAATCGGACAGAAAGGTTGTTATTATTATTATACAGGATTTATATGGCGCCAACAGTTTGCTCAGCGCTTTACAATATAACGGGAAACAATACAGCAACAATACAGTTCAATACAAGAGGGTCAGGAGGGCCTGATCCTGGAAGCTTACAATCTAGGAGGGAGGGGCTAGTGGTACAAAAGGTAGTAACTGTGGGGGATGGACTGGTAGAAAGAGTGGAAAATTCCATTAGTAGCTGAGGGCAGGATAGGCTTCCCTGAAGAGATAGGTTTTCAGAGATCGCCTAAAAGTGAGCAGAGTAGGTGACAGTCTGATAAATTGCGGTAGAGAGTTTCAGAAGATGGGGGAAGCTCTGGAGAAGTCCTGGAGACCAGCATGGGAAGAGGAGACAAGGGAGCTAGAGAGTAGGAGGTCTTGCGAGGAGCGGAGAGTACTATTTGGGTGATATTTAGAGACAAGATCGGTGATGTAATTTGGGGCAGAGTTATAAATGGCTTTATACGTTATTGTTAGTGTTTTGAATTTTATCGGGAAGCTAGTGGAGGGATTGGCAGATAGGGATGGATGACACTGAGTGGAGGCCAGTGGAGGGATTGGCAGAGATGGGTGGAGGACACTGAGTGGAGGTCAGTGGAGGGATTGGAAGAGAGGGGATGGAGGACACTGAGTGGAGGCCAGTGGAGGGATTGGCAGAGGGGGGTGGCAGATACAGAACGGTTAGTAAGGTGGATGAGTCTGGCAGCAGCATTTATGATAGACTGTAGAGAGGGGATAGCCTGCGATGAGGTCGGCCAATGAGGAGGGAGTTACAATAGTCAAGGCGAGAGATAACAAGGGAGTGAATAAGTTGCTTAGTGGTTTCCGAGGTTAAGAACGGGCGTATCTTGGAGATGCTGCGGAGGTGAAGTCTACAAGATTTGGACTTTGATTGTATTTGGGGCTGAAAGGACAGATGGGAGTCTAGGATTACATCTAGTACCCTGGCATGGTTGTACCCAAGTTTATCAAAATCTCTCTGCTCATCAACTCACCCCTTCAGTCTCCTCGCTCATCACCAAGCATCAGTATTCACTTACCAAATGACTTATCAGTATGGATGTCATACCACTTTCTAAAATTCAATCTTTCAAAAACTGGGCTCATAATATTTCTTCTCTCCATGACCTTTCCCCCAATTTTTCCATCGAGATCATTAGAACAACTATCAGTCCTTCACCTCATACCAGGGTGTTAGGTGTAATCCTGGACTGCAACCTCTTCTTCCAGCTCCACATCCAATCACTATCCCAATCCTGACACCTTCAGCTCCTTCACATGTCCACAATTAGCCAATGTCACCACCAAGATACTAATTTACGCCCTTGCTATCTGTTGACCATTTCAACTTCCTTGTTGATGTCCAACCTTTACACAGACAATCCCCCATTAGGTCTATTATGAATGCTGCTGCCAGACTCATCCACCTTACCAAGCATTGTAAGGTGGATTACTTACGTTGGGCAATCAGAAGCCAGTGGAAAGATTGGCAGAGATGGGTGGGGGACACTGAATGTCTACTACCCACCTCTACCAATCCCTCTATTGGCTTTCAAACACCCAGTGAACTAAAATTAAAAAAAAAAAACAATGACAGCATACAAAAACCATCCACAACTCTGTTCCGAGCTACATCGCCAACCTCACCTCCACATATTTCCCAAGCTGTCCTCTTCACTCCTCCCAAGACCTTCTGCTCTCTAGCTCCCTCATCACCTACTCCCATGTTCTTCTTCAAGACTTCTCCAGAGCGTCCACCATTCTCTTGAACTCCCTACCCCAACCTGTATACTGTATCTATCTCCTGTCTGTCCTTCTGATAATCTATTCTATCTGTTTGTGACTCTATTGATGAGATCCCTGTGCTGAGTTTCTGGGTCTTTACGCCTGCTGTGCCCATTATGAGGGGTTCCCGCCATCTCTGCTCTGAGTTCCCAGGTCCTTACACCTGTTGTGCCCATTATGAGAGGTTCCCACCATTTTTTCTGATTTCCCAGGTCTGCACATTTGCCATGCCCATTATGAAGGGCCCCCAACATCCCTTCTGAATTTTTAAATGTATTATATATTATGGAGAATGTAACAGGAGGAGCTGAAACACACAATGGTGGACAGGGAAATCCAAAACTCCCAAGTGGACAGAAACAGAATCAGGAACTTGAGCAGGAAGTTCTCCCTGTTGAAGTATCCATAAAAGCAGCCAGGAGCTGACTCAGTCTGCTAGTCTCCACCTATAACCAAAATATAATTTTTGGGTGGACTGGCCCTTTAAGATATTTAGACCATAGAGCATATTAGACATTTTTAGACATTTACAAAAGCCCTAAAAGTTTATTTGAGAAATACATTTTTTTTTTAGCAAATTCAGCAATTATAGGCAAAGCTCGGGTTCACTATAAATATCCCAATTTCTGTACAGATGCAATTTAGCACCCAGAGCTGTGGATGTTACTATAGATCTTATACATAATGCACACAAAAGATTTGCATTTTGATGGTAGGGAGCTGTGGTCCTTTAAAAGATCATTTAAAGTGGTTGTAAACCTCTGAAATGAAAAAATGAACAAAGCATATGCCTTTGTTGTGTGTACTAGCCCAAATCCAAAGCATCTAGTGTGATTTCTGTCTCCACCTCATTCCTCTACTATCTGTATGAGTCACTTCTGACAGTCTATTCCGACACCAAAGAATCCCCGGAGACAGCCTTCACCCCTTCAGCACAAAGCATGTAATTGATAGCCTCAGATGTGAATGTTTCCCTAAGAGACTGTGCAGAAGGGTGTATGTCCATTCCCTCCACTCAGGTCTCAGATTACACTCAGTTCCCTGCTCTATGCTATGCAGTGTGATCCCCACCCCCCACCTGCTGGAGCTGTGAAATAGCTTTTGATTTGTGTCTTTTAGCAGGCTGTAGAGGAGAGAATGCTACAGATAAACAGATACAACTTACCGTATTTAGAAGTTACCTTCACCCAAGGCTAGTTACTTCAGTGGTATATGTAATGGTTTTTTCAAACACTTTAAAGGGGAAGTGTACTTCATTGAAAATACCATAAAAGATCTGAAAGCCATTTGTGTAGTGTCCCTTTATAGCAGGGGTCTCCAAACATTCTAAACAAAGGGCCAGGAATTGTGCCTCATCATTGGTGTCATTGGGAGGTATTGTGCCCCTTCATTGGTGTCATTGGGAAGTATTTTGCCCCTTCATTGGTGTCATTGGGCCCCATTGTTGGTGTCATTGGGGGGAGGGGGGAACTATGCCCCATCATTTATCTCATTGGTTGCCCTTTATTGGTGTCATTAGGAGGAATTATGCCTTTCATTGGTGTCAGTGAATTAAATATTGTCCTAAGGGCCAGATAAAGGCATGCAAAGGTGTCATTGGTAGGTTTTGTGCCCCTTCATTGGTGTCATTGGGCCCCATTGATGGTGTCATTGGGGGGGGGGACTAAGCCCCATCATTTTTATCACATTGGTTGTCCATCATTAGGAGGAATTATGCCTTTCATTGGTGTCAGTGAATTAAATAGTGTCCCAAGGGCAAAATAAAGGCAAGCAAAGGGCCGCAGTTTGGAGACCACTGCTCTATAGCATTAACATAAACAAGGACTCACTGGTGGGTCCGCGGATTCCTCTCGGCCCCTGATGTCCCGGTGGTCCAGGGTCTCCCTAGAGGAAGGTGGCCAAAGACAAATTATTAATTTTAATGAATTCAAATACTAAAAAAAACAGGCATGGCTAATTTTTGCTTTTATAAAGCAAAGAGCAGAATACAAAGTCAATTCACATATGGCAGCTAAAAGGAAGCCGCCCCCCCTACAGATTGGAATGGTGCTGCTGTACTGAATGAACCCTGTACAAGAACATACAGCATGTTATATTATCTGACAGATATCATGTTTAATTACTTACATCTTTTCCTGATGTTCCTTCTCGCCCTGGAGGTCCTGGTACACCGGGCTCCCCCTGGAAAGAAAGCAATGACATATTTCCAATATATATATATATGTATACACACACACTATATATATATAATAAAAAAATATACACAAACACACACAAACAGTATGTCTTTAACTAGTTTAGCGCTAGAGAATTTTTTTTTCTTTTTTTTTTCTTTTTCAAAAATATTGCATTTTTGGCTGTAAAATTACACAGAACAGTATATATTTTCTGAAAGCAGAGGCCATATAGAATAAAATCAAATAGTAGTTACAATTCTTTATGTAACATGATTATTGCACAACAATCAAACATATATTTTCAGGGAAAAAAAAATAATAATAAAAATTAATTTCAGTGCAAATACGTAACAATATATTACCAATTTTTTTTTTTGTTAAAATATGAAAAATGGGGTTGCATTAAGTAACTAGATACCAAACATGTCAAGTCCTAAAACTGCATAATATTGCGAAAAAAAACTATAATGCCCAAAAATCTCTACAGACAACACATTAAAAGCCTTTATCAGTTTGAGTTAACAATTAATTATGGCCCTACAAGTTTGAATTTGCAGGTGTGTGCAGGGCAATGGGGGGTTACGGTAATTTTTTTTAAACTTTTTAAACCATTTTATTATTATAATTGTTTTTTTTTGTTTAACTTTATTGCTATCCAGGGGCGGACTGACAACTCATGGTGCCCCCGGGCAATAGGGGATCATGGGTCCCCTGTGTCCTTGCCCAAACTCAAAAAAGCCTATGAAATAGGTACCAGGGGCATCTAATGGGGCCCCCTACTGACCCCCAGCCCTCGGACAGTGCCTGAGTTTCCAAAATGGTCAGTCCGCCTTTGTTGCTATCACAATGGGGGAACACACCCCCATGTGATAGCAATGGTTAGGTGATAGGTACTCTTTATGGAGACATCAGGGGTCTATTAGACCACCCAATGTCTCCCCTGCCCTCCAAAGTAGCTATTGAAGCACAGATCGCGCTTGGTTATCCATCTCCCTACTGCATCAACAATGGAATGATCACACTGAAACTGATAATGCTCAGAGCTGAGTACTTGCGGCTTTATTCACTGAAGAGGAGATCAAGGAATGGAAGTTTCGTGGTCTCCTCCCACTCACCATCCGGAAAGCCGTTGATGTCATCTTGGGCAAGCAAATTGATCCCTTAACCATGGAAGGGGGAAGGCAATGTGGAGAAGGACCACACTGCCCCCCCCCCCCTTCTGTAAAAGTGATCGGGCAGCTATACAGCCACCCAGATCACTTTTACTTTATAGCCAGAATCCAGTTGAGGAAAACAAGCCCAAACTCATCAATGCTACTGCAGCCATGAGCTTGTTTAACCCTTTCACTCTCCAGATGTACTACTAAATAGCTAAGGGCTTATGCACAAGCTAAAGAATTGCACTGTAGATGTGCCTTGCGGTGCATTGCCATTTGGAGTTAGTTGCATCTCAAGGTAGATCTACAGGGCACTACTACATTCATATACAGTGCATTCTGTTGCACTAAAATTGGTCAAGCAGGGCATTTTTTTTTTTTTTGTTAAGTTTTATTGTATCAGTTTGAGACACTTCTAGGATCATTCAGAATTTATTGACAGGTGCATTTGACCTGCAGTTAACCTCTTTCTGATCGGCTTCAAGTAAGATCTGCAGTGCTCTGTGTAAGCAGAGCTGAGTAACAGCCACACCCCTCAGTCTGACCTCACACAGATTTTTTACTGCAGAAAATTACAGGGGGTGTGTCAGACCAGTTTTTTGTTACTGAGTGCTGATTACAGGGTGCACAGAGACTACCTCTGGTGCTTAATGGGCCGCATGATCATATTCATAAATCCTGCACAGCAAACGTAACAAAAACAGAGAAGGTAGAATTATGGAAATGGAGGTTGCAAGTATAATGCCTATCTGACCGAATATCCATTTTTGTGACTCTTAACTGATTATTTATTTTTTTGTTACTCTAGTGCAGGTCAGAAGGCAGCCAAATGCATCTGTCAATGAATTCTGAATGATTTCAGAAACATCCCAATCTAATGCCCGTTGCCAGTGTCATGTGACCACTGTGACCAATCACAGATGATCACATGTCAATTATATAAAAATGGATTGCATCCTGTAATGCCATCCATTGTATACAATTATGTTAGGCGTGACTGGTCAAGACAGTCACATGATAAAGACAGGGCCAATCACAGCCCATCTGTATCATGTGATCAGCTTTGCCCAATCACAGATAATCACAGCAAAAGACTGAATGAATCAGTTTCATTCAGTAACAATGATTGCAAATATCAATGAAATACATCGGTATTAGTAATCATAATGTGTTGAAAAAGAAAAAAAAATTCCTGATTACTCGCCCAGAGTAGTTCAGTGTTACTATGGTAACATTGCATTGCTTTGGTCACGGTGTACTGAAAAATAAAATAGTAAAAAAAAAAAAAAATGTAAAAAAAAAAAAAAAAAAAATAAATACATTTGAAAAAAAAATTACAAATTCAAATATTAATTATGTTCACAAAGAAATGTAGCGGAATAAATTTTGACCTAAATTTACAAAGAAATGTAATATATTTGCTAAATTTTATAACAGAAACGAAGAAAAGTGCGTTTGTTTTTTTGTTTTATTTAGCAAAAAATAAAAAAAACTCAGCGGTGATTAACCACCTTCCGCCCGCCCTATAGTACAATGACGGGCGCAAGGTGGTTCTCTCGTTCTGATAGGACGTCATATGACGTCCTACCATTCTCACTGCGCATGCGAGGCTCAGGGAGCGTGCAGCGCGCGGGCGATCGCCGAGGGACACAGCGGATCACGGAAAGAGCCGAAGATGTCTGGTATTGAAGTGGTTAAAGCCAATCAACACAGGCCTTAATGCTCTTTCAACCCTCACACACCAGTCCTCACACACACTTGTCATGCTAAGCAAGAAAGGGGGCGTATCAGATCAGGTCTGTTACTGAGTGCTGATTACTGGGTACACTCTAACTGTGATGTCTAATGGACTGCAGTCATATTTTTATACATTCTGCATAGCTGCAACACCAGCAGTATTGAATAGAAAAATAAAAGCATTAAATACAGACAATATAAATTTTTTTTTTCCAGCTGAACTTTAATAGTATGTACAGGTTTAGGACTTATAAAACATAAATAAAACTCTATATATAATAAAACATCATTGAAACGACTTACCCTGGACCCAGGAAGACCAGCATCACCTCTGTGGCCCTTGAAACCCTGGAAAATAATATAATTTCTCTATTAATGCCTCATCACCATACCGGTACATAGAGAGCAGAATAAAATTCTCAGCTAAAGAAACATGCAGAACCGTGATAAATGAATGTCTGCAGGTTGGCTCTTGATTTACTAGCGGAGACATTACCGTTCACTCCGCAAGATAGATATCCGCACTCTGATGATCTAGTAAAGGGCATGGCTGTATTTAGACATCATGTTACTCTAAGCAAGCCATTCATAACCAAGGGTCTGTGAAACCCTAGGGTTCCTTCAGACGTTGCTGGAGCTGTGGATGAATGACCCCCAATTTGATAGTGGCTGCATAGTTCCAGGGCATCTATATATGGATAAAAGTGCAGAAACTTCATGAAGACCCTTCATACTTACCATCAACGTGATAAGCATTTTTCCAATTGACCCCTGATTAATTGGTTTTGGTAGGGTTCCGCACAACCTGAAAACTATTTTAGAGGTTCCTCTTGGGTAAATAGGTTCAGAAAGGCTGCTCTATGAATGATGAGAGCCTTACGTACAAACTCTATTTTTTTTCTTCTGCATACGATGGGTATGGCTACTTCAGATCTATCCAACTTTTGTGTACCTTGTGTGGAAATGTCCGGTAGTCTCTGACTTTTGGGCCCAAGTGTTCACCCTACTAGAACTTCCCATTCTGTGTACCCTCAAATTTTGTTGGCCACACTACACCAGGATCTTCCTGTAAGAAACTTCACTCATGGCCTGACTTTTGGGCCCAAATGTCCACCCTAATAGAACTTCCCATTCTGTGTACCCTGACATTTTGTTGGCCACACTACACCAGGATCTTCCTGTAAGAAACTTCATTCATGGCCTGACTTTTGGGCCCAAGTGTACACCCTAATAGAACTTCCCATTCTGTGTACCCTGAAATTTTGTTAGCCACACTGCACCAGAATCTTCCTGTAAGAAACTTCATTCATGGCCTGTAAACCAATTGCTCTATCTTTTTTTTCTGCATATGATGGGTATGGCTACTTCAGATCTATCCAACTTTACCTTGTGTGGAAATGTCCGGTAGTCTGACTTTTGGGCCCAAGTGTCCAGCCCTAATAGAACTTCCCATTCTGTGTACCCTGAAATTTTGTTTGACCACACTGCACTAGAAACTTCCTGCAAGAAAACTTCATTCATGGCCTGTAAACCAACTGCTCTATCTTTTTCTTCTGCATATGATGGATATGGCTACTTCAGATCTATCCAACTTTACCTTGTGTGGAAATGTCCGGTAGTCTGACTTTTGGGCCCAAGTGTCCAGCCTAATAGAACTTCCCATTCTGTGTACCCTCAAATTTTGTTGGCCACACTGCACCAGGATCTTCCTGTAAGAAACTTCATTCATGGCCTGACTTTGGGCCCAAGTGTTCACCCTAATAGAACTTCCCATTCTGTGTACCCTCAAATTTTGTTGGCCACACTGCACCAGAATCTCTTCCTGTAAGAAACTTCATTCATGGCCTGTAAACCAATTGCTCTATCTTTTTCTTCTGCATACGATGGGTATGGCTACTTCAGATCTATCCAACTTTTGTGTACCTTGTATGGCAATGTCCGGTAGTCTCTGACTTTTGGGCCCAAGTGTTCAGCCTAATAGAACTTCCCATTCTGTGTACCCTCAAATTTTGTTGGCCACACTACATCAGGATGTTACTGTAAGAAACTTCATTCATGGCCTGACTTTTGGGCCCAAGTGTCCACCCTAATAGAACTTCCCATTCTGTGTACCCTGAAATTTTGTTAGCCACACTGCACCAGAATCTTCCTGTAAGAAACTTCATTCTTGGCCTGTAAACCAATTGCTCTATCTTTTTCTTCTGCATACGATGGGTATGGCTACTTCAGATCTATCCAACTTTTGTGTACCTTGTATGGAAATGTCCGGTAGTCTCTTTGACTTTTGGGCCCAAGTGTCCAGCCTAATAGAACTTCCCATTCTGTGTACCCTCAAATTTTGTTGGCCACACTACACCAGGATCTTCCTGTAAGAAACTTCATTCATGGCCTGACTTTTGGGCCCAAGTGTCCACCCTAATAGAACTTCCCATTCTGTGTCCCCTGAAATTTTGTTGGCCACACTGCACCAGGATCTTGCTGTAAGAAACTTCATTCATGGCCTGTAAACCAATTGCTCTATCTTTTTCTTCTGCATACAATGGGTATGGCTACTTCAGATCTATCCAACTTTTGTGTACCTTGTATGGCAATGTCCGGTAGTCTCTGACTTTTGGGCCCAAGTGTTCAGCCTAATAGAACTTCCCATTCTGTGTACCCTGACATTTTGTTGGCCACACTACACCAGGATCTTCCTGTAAGAAACTTCATTCATAGGCCTGACTTTTGGGCCCAGGTGTCCACCCTAACAGAACTTCCCATTCTGTGTACCCTGAAATTTTGTTGGCCACACTGCACCAGAATCTTCCCTGTAAGAAACTTTATTCATGGCCTGTAAACCAATTGCTCTATCTTTTTCTTCTGCATACGATGGGCATGGCTACTTCAAATCTATCCAACTTTTGTGTACCTTGTATGGCAATGTCCGGTAGTCTCTGACTTTTGGGCCCAAGTGTCCAGCCTAATAGAACTCCCCATTCTGTGTACCCTCAAATTTTGTTGGCCACACTGCACCAGGATCTTCCTGTAAGAAACTTCATTCATGGCCTGACTTTTGGGCCCAAGTGTCCACCCTAATAGAACTTCCCATTCTGTGTACCCTGAAATTTTGTGGGCCACCCTGCACCAGAATCTTCCTGTAAGAAACTTCATTCATGGCCTGTAAACCAATTGCTATCAAATGGATGAATCCGTCCTCTCCTACTTTAGGTTAACGTATATCCTTACTTAATCAAATTATGCAGTATGAAATTTATCTAGGATAAGAGGAATTGTCCATGTAAGTTTTGGAAAATATGGGACCTCTAGCCCAGCCGAAGCCATGGCTGCCAACACACAGCCACCCTGCTGCAGCTGACAGCTTCCCTCTCCGTGGCCACAAGTGAACAGAGCCGCTGTGTGGCGAGACAGGAAGAGTTAGAGAGACTGTGACCATCGGGAGGAAGCCCCAATTTTTACCTAGAGGAAGGTAGAATTTGGGTGTGGGGGGTTGGCCTATTCACTCCAGGAACTGCAGTAACTTGTAGGGAATGTAGACCTGGAGACTTGACACTAAAAAAGATTGTGTGAGACTACCCAAGACCCAGGAGGACAGGGTGGAGGGGGAAGTGCAGGAGAAGGAAGAAAAGAACTGGAAATCTCAGGCTCAGAGCCAGTCTAAAATTGAGAGCTGGAGAAAGAGGGCTGTTCTGCATGAAGCTGCTGAATGCCAGAGCTCCCTATGTTACTGAATTGGGACTGTTGTACCTGCTAATTATAATGGAGTCCAAGGAGCTGCCAAGTGTATTCAGTGTACAGCACCCTGGAGAGGAAGAACCCAATGAGCTGTGGTTGATGACATCTGCTTTTTGAATGTCTGTAGCTTTGCCTGGGATCTCTGTAACCATGATCAGAGTTGCTGTTGTCCCCTTTAGAGAATGCAGGAGGTCCCCTATTTTGGAATCCCAGGAGAGGGAAGACACCCCACAAAGAACTTCTAAGTGGTGAAAGGCAGTCTGACCACCATCTTATTTAAATAGACAGTATCCCCTCTTTTAGGTTACCCCCACCAGGCATTTGTTTTGAGGATTACTCCCCTTTCTGATGGAATTAGTAGAACTCTGTTTAACAGCACTCCAATGCAGTCTTGAGCCCCAACATTGTGTTTTACTACTTTCTAATAAAAATATTTTGGGAAAAAAAAAAAAAACATTGTGTTTTACTAGGGAAACATGCTGCTTTGTATTGCTCTGCTATGAAAAGCAATACAAAGCAGCATGTTGGTGCTGACAGGGGAGAGATCTGTGTTGTTTACATACAGACCTCTCCCTTGTCAGTGTTCTTCGTAGACTGCCGGGTGCCAGCGGGGAATCTATGTCCGGGACCCAGTGATCAACAGCTGTAGCCACCAACGGCGACGCGGGCAGGGTGGCGCACACATGCCCCCTACCCTGAACTGCAAAATCATGTGTATATACGTGATTTTGCGCTGTCCTGCCACCCTGTAGCAGTAGTTCTACAATCAGGCGGCGGTGAACCGGTTAAGGAGAGATCCGGGGTCAAAAAGACCTGTCAGGGATCTCCACGATCCCCGCAGCGATGGTCCCGGCGCAGGCGCAGTGCGCCGCCCTGTGCAGGGACTTGGGCACTAGGTCTGGGCTGGCCGCGGCGTTCGAGTTCGCGCATGCACAGTAGAAGCCGCGGCCGCCCGCCATGCTGGGCACCAATGGCAGCACAGGGCGGGATATTTAAATGGCCCTGAGCTGTCATTCAGTGCCTTCTGGTCTTACCTGCATCCTGTATCCTGCGAACCTGTACCTAGTAAGTTTTTGACCCGGATTGTTCTTGACCTGCTGATTTCTCCTGCCCAGACCCTTGCTTTGCCTGACCTCTCTTCTGAATGCCCCTCATTAGATCTGACCTGCTGTTGCTGACCTGGCGTGTGACCCGACGATTCTCTGCCCGCTCCCTTGTACCATACCATCCTCTATGTTACTGACTCGGCCTGTCTGACTTCGCACTTGCTCAGCCATCCATCCCATCAGGGTCACCCGACCTCCTCATATCAGGCTCTCCCCTGTTGGAGCCCCTGGCGAACACCCCTACCACTGACGGGTGTGCTCAGTAGTGGCGACCTGGTCTCGGGGTACTCCAAGTCCATCCCCACCATCAGGGGCTCTGGTGAACAAGTACCCTGGGGCTTAGATTCCGCGCTCTGGGCACGCCTGACCAGTGGAGTGCTAGTGGTGCCGCTAGGCAGTCCTTCACAACCCCAAATCTCTCCTTTACTTTTAACTGCAAAACATTTTTTTTAAACTTTTGCTTTATAAAAGAAAGAAAAAAATGGTTTACATCCGCTGCTGACTAGATGT